CGAGAGCCCCGTACCTCTGCGCTTCTCTCCTGCAGCTTCTGCGGGTCTCAGTGTGCCTTTCCTTCCTTCTAGTTGTAGAGTTTACAGTCAGCCAGGCTTCCTGTGGTTCTGGATGAAGTCCGTGTTGTTTCTCTGAGGTATTAATCAATTGTTGTGAGCGGCATTAACTTCCCGGTGTTTATCTCTGCCGCCATCTTAGTTTCTCCTCTTTTTTCTTCTTAAATGGATGGTTATAGAATCATTCATTGGAGCTCAGAAAAGTTGTCTCTTAAATCAAGGATAGAAAAAGCACACAGAAATGAATCAGGATTTTATCACTGCTATTTTATATTAACTGTCCTTCAATCCTATATAATAAAACTCTAATATGCAAATCGACCTAACAATGGAATGACTGGTGGAACAACCGGTCACTATGACATGCACTGACCGCCAGGGACAGCTCCTGCGTTGAGCATCTGCTCCTCTAGAGTGAGGCGACCAACAGCAGCAGCGGCGATTGGGGGATGGGAACGGCCAGCTGGTGGCACCAGGCCACCAGCCAAGGCGGGTGCCAGCGGGGGGGTGGGGGGCATTGCCCCGCCAGCTGGTTGTCCCACAGATCAGCCCTGATCGCTGGCCAGGCCCAGGGACCTTACCAGACGCTCAACACAGGAGGTGCCCCCTGGTGCTCAATGTGCTCCCACAGGGGGAGCACCACTCAGCCAGAAGCCAGGCTCACTGCTGGCAAGCACAACGGCTTTTGCAGGAGCCTCTTCTGCCTCTGCAACAGCACTAAGGATGTCCGACTGCAGGGAGCAGGCCTAAGCCATCAGTCGGACATCCCCTGAGGGCTCCTAGACTGCGAGAGGGCACAGGCTGGGCTGAAGGACCCCCCCCCCCCCCTGCAAGAATTTTGTGCACCGAGCCTCTAGTTTATATATAATGTCCTTCAACTTTGCTAAATTATGTATTAGTTCTAATATATTTTTTTTGGGGGGGGGTGGAGGGTTGAGTCCTTAGAAATGTCTACATATAATATCATATTATCTATGGATAAAAACATATTTAATTTTTCTCTTTTGGATTTCTTTTCTGAATGCTTTTATCCCTCTGTTTCTCTCCCCCACCCCCCTCCCTTATTGCACTGGCTAGAATCTCCCAAGACAATGTTGAACTGAAGTTGTAACACTAGACTTCTGTCTTATTTCTAATCCTTGGAAGGAAAGTGTTCAGTAATTAAGGGTAATTTTTGTTAGGTAAAGGGCATATATACAAGTTTCCTTCTCTTCCTAGTTTGTTGAGAGTTTTTGTGAAGAATGGTTGTTGGATTTTTTCAGATGGTTTTCTATGTCTACTGAAATTATCATGTGGTTTTTGTCTTTCATTCTATTAATATGGTGCATTGCATTAGTTGACTTTCAGATATTAAATAAATACTCGTTAGGTATGGCATACATATTGTTTAATTTAGTTTGGTAATATTTTGCTAAAAAGTTTTGTATTCATCTCCATGATGGATATTTTCAGACTCTTTTCATGTGTGGTCTTTATCTGCCTTTGGTATCAGGGTAACATTGGTCTCAAGAAATGAGTGGGGAAGTGTTCCCTCCTGTATATTCTGAGAATGTGTGCAGATTGGTATCATTTCTTCTTCAAATATTTGATGATATTTATCAGCAGAGCCGTATGGACCTGGGCTTCTCTTTATGACAAAATTTTAAATTACTAACTCATTTCTTTTAGTTGGTATAGGCCTATTCAGATTTCCTATTGTCTTTGGGTATCTGTGTCTTTCTAAGAATTTGCATCTTTCAAGGAATTTGCCCCTTTCATAGAAATTGTCTAATTTGTCGGGACAAAGTTGCTTATAATATTCCCTTATAATCCTTTTAATTTCTGTAGGGTCAGTAATGGTATCCCCTCTTTCTTCCTGAATTTGTATCTTCAAAGGTCTTAAGCTTCATTGATTTTATCTATTGTTTTTCTGTTTTCTATTTCATTGATTTTCCTCTCGGGTTTTTTATCCTTCCTTCTGCAAGCTTAGATTTTATTTTGTTCTTTTTCTTATTTCTTAAGTTGGAATCTTAGGTTATATATATTTTAGTGTACTTTTATCCCTCTGTTTCTCTTCTCAACACTCTATTCTCAATACTTTTGATAGCAGATGTGTGGAGGTTTTCTCCAAACCAGGCAATTATCCAGTTCTCTGTAAATACCAACTTGGTGTCCTACAATGCAATTTAATTCTGACACTGTCTTCTTGGGGTTGGTGCAGATCCCATAGGTTAAGAGATCAGTCTCACAATACTGCATCCCTCCCCTCACTTCAGACACCAATGGCAAATCCAAGTTGTCACCAGTGCTTCTGACCAACTGGCTATAAATTGGAGATTCCCACCACCCCCTCTTTGGGTGCAATAATTTGCTGGAATGGTTCACAGAACTCAGGTAAACAGCTTACTTACTAGATTACCAGTTTATTATAAAAGGATGAAATTCAGGGACGGCCAGATGGAAG